AGTTGATGCCCTCAGTCTGACTCAGAGCTTCTAATTCATGCAAACAGCCTGTTCCAGCTTCCTCAGACTGAGATAGGAGTTAGCCAAGACCAAAGTCCCATAAATCCATTTCAGGACCCAAATCAAATCTAATTTACTCTTTTATTGATCTTTATTGGGCATAGTTATCTTAAAAGTCAGGTCCCTGTTTTGGATATAAAAACCTCATCCTTCATACCTTTTCCATCTTTGCTTCTTTATCACCATTTATCTTTGTCACTTTCTATGGTATTAGGTGCAGAACAGTGCACAACAGAGGAACACAGACATACAGTCTGTGATGAAGGTATCAATACAATGATACAAGGATGCATAAATACAGGCATTTACAAAATAATTAATTTGCTTTCAGCATTTCTCACTTTTAATGTAATATCTTAATAATAATAATCTATATTCTAGACTTCAGAAACTGTGTTTTCTCTAATTAGGTGAATGTAACTTCTTTTTTTACATTATACAATGTACAAGATTTATAGTATATATACATTTGTCTGTGCAGTGCTTTTTTGGTTCATATGGGTTTGGTTTTTTTTTTTAATGCAAACTATCTTGGATATTGAAATATTCACCACAATGAGAAGAGTGATACTGCACATCATAGAAGGCGTTATACTTCTACAAACAGGTTGGTTGTTTGCTCTTGCCTGTTGCCGCTAACATTATAGTGTGTTTTAAGTGCTAATGAATGAGAACTGGAATTTCTAATTGTTATAAGACTTTCATAAAACAATAGGTAAATAGTGACTATTAAATAAGGAAAAAACAACCGGGAGACAATGTTACATCCTCGTCTCCTAAAAGACAGGTTACTGTTATTATTGAGCACATTATTTAGTTCTCATCATCTATCCAGCCACCTATTTTCTTTTTCTCAAATGAAAAAAACCCCTACCTACCCACACCTACCTCCTTGAAAAGATGAAGAAAAGATTTCTAGGGGACCATGAATGTGTCAATGCAAAAGAGATAAAAGACTGAGCATTTTGTATAGCATGGATAACTATTCACAGATACATTTTCTTGAATAAAAGAAATAATATGATCAGATTAATTCATTTGAGGACGGTCTTCACTGATCCCTCTAAGTGTTTTCATTAGGGCCTAAATTCAGATTCACACTATGTAACTATGCAAGAAATAATCTTTGTGCAGACTACCTGAGTTAGAGTTCATTACAGTTAGCATATGCAGGGCAGCACAGGCTTACTTTCAATGTACAGGGCTTAAGAAAGGCAATAGAATTTGGAGGAATGCAACAAAGCCGTGGTGCTACTTATTACCAACTCATTATGACCGGGAGACTTTAAATTCATTACTCATAAAACATGTAGGAAACTACCAAGCTGCTGTAGGAAAGCAGCACCAGGAGGACAAAAGCAAGGGATTTACACAATTCTGCTTTTGTGCATGTCCTTACTGCTTCTATCTTAATGCCATTTATGTGATTTAAAAGGAGCTACATGTAGCTTCTGTGCTGCCTTGTACTGAAGGCTGGGCCCCAGCCAGCTCCGGCTGATGATCAGGGTGGAGTAAAACCCTTAGAAGAGCTGACAAGTTAGGAGGTTAATCTGCAGTTCTAGAATAAAAATTGTGTCTTCTAAGTGTCCAGTATTGGACTGCTATAAAAGGTATGTTAAGACTTCTTGCTTTTGAATCTCTTTTCTGTCTTGTTTTCCTCAGGAGTTTTTGGTTTTTTTTTTTTTAATGAAGTGACATTTTTCTCAGTCTTTCTGGATCTTGCATTAGTCGTGAGCATGGGCTGCAGGAGGGCTGGAAGTATGACTGCATTCCCTATTTTATCCAGACCATCCATTGAATAAAATTTGCACCAGGACAGTCAAATAGAATTGCAATTGAATTTTAGAGTATCCAGGAATTAGATGCCAGATTTTTTTACTATGAATAGATCTATCAGACTTTAAAACAATCAGATTAAGCACTAGTGCTAATTGATAGCTGTGTGCTGAAAGAGTAAGAATTTATTGCAGCTCTTCAACTAGAGACATTAGCAGTCTGACAGAAAGAGGAAAAATTTTGGTTTTAAGGGCAGGATTGTGAAGGAAGTTGGTGTAGATTTAGCACAGAGGGCCCGGTCCTGGGTGGAGCTGATGGTAAAATGGGACAAAAGATTCAAGCAAGAAGCTCAGGGACAGATTGGGCTGGATTTTCAGAGATTAAGACTAAGGCAGAAGTGGAAAATGGGGTTAGGGTTTATACAGCAAATAGCTAAATTAACAATCAGGGCGAGCAAATAGGCTTGATGCTAGGTCTAAGAGGAAAGAGTTATACACAGCACCCAGGCTAAAGCAGCATCACTACTTTACTACAGCACCTGGTGACAGATCTCCAGCTGGTGATCCAGGACTGTAACAATGACCCTGTCGGCACGGCACTGCTGTGCTCTTTACATCTGCACTTGCTCGTTACACTTGGAACTTCTAATCAACAACCACAGGTCTCAAAGGACAAATAATATTGCTATAATGTACATCAGCTAGCAGATTCCCTGAATATCTCTTTGCTGCAGCTGAGAGAATAGAATGGATTTCAAGAGCATTTATTGGACAACTTCAGACGTCTTCTCCTGGGGTAGTGATATACTTAGAGAAATTCAGCAGATAGATTATATTTACACACTGAAAGGTTTTTTTTTGATATAAAGCAGTCATGGTAGTAAGCATTCAAATTTTCTTTGGGGTGGCAGTTCAAGCTGAAAGTTTTTAAGACACACAATGCTTTGTTTTTAATTGTGTAATCCAATTAAATGTTTTCACTATCATAAAACATTGGCTACCAAAACCTAATATGAAAAAATGTACAGATGTAAAAGTGAATTGCCATCTGTGTTTATTGAGGCAACACCTACCATAAATGCTGCAGTGCTGTAAAGGTATTATTTCTCATTTTGGGGAAATTAAGTCTCCAGAGTAGAAGCTCAAAGCTCATGTTGTGTTGGTATCTGCCCACTGGAGGGTTTTGAGAAAAAAAAATGGGAAGAAAATAAGAAATCCTTTTACTCATGAAGGGTCCAAGAAACTGAAAGAGTTAATGACTAGGTTTACTGTCCTTGGAGTCAATGGGTCATTTTCTGTTGATCTGAGCGAGCTGGAGTCAGGACCTGTGTGACTTACCCAAGATACCCAATGGGCCCAAAATTGATTCTTGCACTACTTCTTCCCCTTCGCTGTCAGGGTAAAGGAATGGTTCATTTCTGACCTAATTGCCCTACTTCACATGGCCGGCTCTCAATCACTTCTCTTAATTTGCTGCTGTGTGCTGCAAATCTAACGATTCACATTAAAAATTCCAGCCTCCGTGTATCATGTTGTTGATGCTGTTATATTGGTTTGATCACCAAGCTACATTTTACTGAAAGTTGAAAAAAGTATCAGGTTATTGAGGTTCCATTTTAGCTTTGTTTATGGATAATTTAATGTAGAAAGAAATGAGGTTAAGGAAAGCTCTGAATATGTATTTTCCAGAGGGAACAAAAAAAAAAAGTTTTTTCTCGCCTCCTCTCACTGCCTCTCAGTCATCGAGAGAGAGAAATGATGAAAATGACACATGAGCTGCTGCAAAGCCTAAAAATAAGAGAGCTTTTATTTTATATTTGGAAAGGGAGATTAGTTTGTTCTATGGCTATTTTTCTTTTCATTTTTTTTAAATCTTTAAACAGGGTGGCATTTAAAGTAGACAGTCCCCATGCCCAAAAAAAGCTTGTTTATTGCTTGTTATTGCTGGGGAGGTGGATAATGGGAAAAGTGTGGGAGAGGGAGGAAAGTGGGGGCACGTACAGGAAAATGCATTTGTGTGGGTTGGGTTTAGCAGTTTGAGACAGGGATGTAGTTAAATCTTCTCTCCTCTCCTCTATCCTCTCCTCTATTCTTCTCTTTTCTCTTCCCTTCTCTTCTCTTCCACCCAGAAATGAAGAATAGCCTTTCTGTTAAAAGGAATTACCTATGAGCCATCCTTGAAGCTAGCATTAGGTAGGCAGGACTGAGGCTGCTGCTGGCAGGAGGATAAATGCTTCTGGCTGGGGAAGTCTTAGCTACGGCCAGACCAAATGTGCAACCTTCCAGTTCAGCTAAAGTAAAGGTCCTGAGGTTAAAAAAAAAAGAGAACAACTGAATGCTAAGGCTTTTATTTTTTTTCTAAGCTATCTCTATATAATTAGTCCTGCTTCTTATGAAGAGTTTTGACATTGGTCTCAGACATAAACTGCAGAAATAAAAAAATAAAAGCCACCCAATTCATGCTTTGAAGTTCACTAGGATTAGCCACACAAGAGCAAATTCCAGGAAGAGAAGGTAATCAAAATGCAGGCAAGCAATTAGATCTGCATATTAAGTATGAAAATACACAGTGCTGGGTTGCATATTAAGCTAGTGCAGTAACCTTGTGCTTCCGGAGCCGCTCGATAAGGTGACTGTGCAAAGTTGCTCAGAGGACTCACCTCCCGAGGGGCAGATTGCTTTCCTTCAGCTGTAATCATTGATAAGGTGCTTGATCATGATTAGTAAGTGGGCTGGGGACAGTGGGAGCAGCCAGCCCTGTCTGCTCCGGGGGAAGCCCAGCCAGGTATAGTGGGTATCAGGCAGGGCTCTGGGCGGCGTGGGGCAGGCAGGCGCTCAGCAGAGCTGGGGTGCTGCCGGACAGACGGGGCTGTGGCCCTGTGCTCTCCCTGGTTTGCCCCCCCCTCTCCCTCTCAGCTCCTGCCCGGCCTTGGCCACCACGGCCATCACAACAGCAGCTGTGATAACTTGCACCCGGTCTCTGGGGGATGGATGGCAGCAGAGTCAAAATACTGTCTGGAGTGGGGACCTAGAAATTTTGTTGCCATGAAAATGTGACTATAGGTCAATTATCTTACTGTATAAATAGTGGACAGCCCAAGAGCCCCTTTGAGCTCTCCTGGATGGCAGCGGGCTGCACGCCAGGATCTCCCCTTTGGTGAGGACGCTCGCTGAAGGTTCTACTCCTCGAGGTTGAGGGAATCCTTGCCGCAACAGATTCTCGGTAAGTGACTAATAGCATGCTAAACTTTGAAATTTTATCTAAGTAATGTAAAGGATTGATTGTGCATATATAATCCTTTAGACATAAACCGTTGACCAAGTCTGGGACTAGGATTGGATCCAGCCGCACCTAGACTCCTCTCTGAGAAGGAGTTTAGAAAGCAAGGGGGTCCTTTCTGAACCTCGTGACTCAACGGGAGGGTCTCCCTCACAGTGTCTCTGACCCTGTCCTCTGTGCAGTAAATAATAGAGTGTACCCTGACATCGAATCTCGTAAAACACTATCGCATTTACCACTGGTTTTATTGCACTTTCTACTGGTTTTGTTAAATCACTGTTTCACCTTAATAAATATTTCTCTACTAACTAGTGAAGTTAATCACTCCGTCCGCGACAGGGGCACATGCAGGATGCCCGAGTGATGGAGCATGAGGAGGTTGGCAGGGCAGCTCCCCACACCCCGCTTGACTCACAGCCCTACTCTGAGCCTCTCACTTTCTGAATCATTAAATTCACTTTAGGAAAGGGAAGAGCAGCAGCTTAGGGATTTCTTTTTTTATTATTGTTATGATTATAATGGGATTTTACTGCAGTAGAAGGAGCCTATTCTAATTTTGGAAACCAATGCTACTGGAACAAACTACATTTTATCTGTAATAATTATTATTAGCTTTCTTCCTTCTCTCTTTAAAATTGAGGACTGGGATATTCAAATATTCATGTGGCTGTGTTAGGTTCTCCCTCACAGCTGCAGGAAGGTTTGGCTTGTATCTATCCAGGCATCTTGCTGTTCCTCATTGCCAGCACAGTTCATGAGCTTCTAAGGTTAGAGTTACCTTACTTGTAAAGTTTTAGCATACAGCTAAATGTAGGGGCGACACTGTACCCATCTCCTGTCCCTGATAGGCTGTCTGTGCACACTAAAGCCAATTGTCAATAAAACCTGTATTAAAGGCATAGACACATTTGCTCACACAGGATCCTAAATGCTGAAGTTAGGACCCAAGAAAAAAAAGAAGAAAAAAAAAAAGATAGTTGTCCATTCTGTTTTGAGAATGGCTTGAGTGTCCAGAGGATCCAACAAACTCCTGGTTCTCTAAAATCCATTGGTCAGCTTCATGTGAAGGATAATTGGGTGCTTCCAAAGAAGATTTATCCTCACCCCATCAAGAAAGATCATTGGCTTTTAGTGAGAAATATGACCACAACACAAGTCTGACATCATTTGACAGTTTATGTGACAGGGCACATATGAAATAAAATAAATGCCACTCTGTCTTCCTGTCCTTCCTGTCCAAGTCCTTAATTTCTCTCTGTACCTCTAATCCTTCCATTTATAAAAGTCTCTTGAAGATGAGCTACTCACTCATTCAAAGCTTTTTTTTTTTTTTTTTTCTCCTTAAGAGCTTGGGCTTGTGGGAGGGAAAGAAAGTAATAAGAAAAGGGTGGGAAGAATGATCAACTCTAAGGAAAGCAGCTTCCTAATTCAGAAGCCAGGCAAAATCATTTTGGATGAGCATCAAACATACTACACAGCCAAAATGTTTTATTTTTATCTTTTTTTTTTCCTCTCTAAAATAGCATGTTTGACAAAGCTGTCCCTTTAAATCTACTCATAAGTTTCTCACTTCACCAAGTTTGCATTTGCTGTATTTCTCAGTCCTCTGTGGTGGTGTGGGTGTCAGAAATACACAGGTGATGTCATTTGTCACTCCCTAACCCAGGGTTTAATTGACACCATCATTCCACACCCCTCCTCCCACCCTTCTTCCACCTCTTCAGTTTAAATCTTGTTCTCCCAGACCTTTTGGGTCAACACACTTCAAAAATGTGTTACTTTCATCATTTAAAGTCTTCTCTAAGAAAGGTAAGCTTCGTGACTCCTTTTCATTTTTACATCCTGGTTGATATGGAGATGAAAAATACGTCCAATGTGGTTTTACTGTAATAATCTTAACCAGTGATAAACTCTTTGCCATGCGAAATGAAGAGATGCCACAGTATCAGTGGCAGAGAGCAGACTGGCTATCAGTATATTTTGAATTACAAAGATGTTTTGCCTTCATTTTATTATTTTTTTAATAAACACAACATGTCTTATAAGCTATCTCTTCTGCATAAAGTTTGGTGTCAGAATATCTTTTTTTTTTTCACATAGCTATATTAAATAAATAATGAGAATAAGCTCTTTTGTCATATCTATAATGCACTCAGCAAAGATTCCAGGGTAAGCAGTAAAAGTTTTGTCTTTTTTTTCCCTCTGGTTATTTATATCATTATTAGAGGAAATGCAAGCTTAGAAAAGGGGTGGTTGGGAACCATATAAAAGAAAAGGGCAAGAACTTATTTCTGCTGACAGAGAAGAGGTCTCAGTAGCCTGGCTCCTCTCTTCTTCAAAGGGTCATTCTGCTCCTAGTGTTCTAGGGGCTCTTCTGAAAAAGGAAAACAAAAGCCCTAAGACCAGCAGGGATACAAGGACTGCACCATAGACTCATGTTCTTGGGACTGTACTGAGAACCAAAAATCAACCTGTGAGGCAAAGCTCTTCGTCTACTTTGTCTTCACCCAGTGAATGGGTGAACAATGGGAACTCAAGTGGTGTATTCAGCTTCATTTCTTGTCCCCAGCTTCATCTGACTCATAAATGTAAACACAAACAAAAAACATCTGCTCATTTCAATGAAGCTGTGACTGTTGTGCTGGAGGTAACAGGTAACATCTAAACCACTGGAGTAACTCGGGACCATAAGTCAGCCCTTTTGAAAGCTGGGCTTTCAGGCTACTGAAACTGTTAGGCAAAGCCACAGCCTGTAGTCTTAGAGCTTAGTTAGTATCTCCCTTATTAGAGTTACATTACAGATAGTTGTCTGTGATTACTTACCGAGTCAATTAATGAGACAAAGTCAAAATGTGAGTGAGAGCATATTGGGCAATTCAAAGGTTGAAAGGCTATATTGAAACAGATCTGGTCATAATTAAGATTAACGGTACAATTTCATCTGGCCAAACATAATTACTTGCAACTAAATGTATCTCAGTGTAGCTGATTGACACATATACTATATAGCCATCACGAGCAAGGGCCAGGATTTAGGTGACTTGCAGGGAAAAGTAAAGAACAGGAATGAAGAAAAAGGAAAAAAAGAGGAAAAAATATTGCTGCCAATTAACTTCAGGAAGAGCTTAAGGGGGTTGTTTTTGTTTTTTAAAGGTATTTCCAATCCTAGAGCAAGATTTTCTTTTCTTTTCTTCTGGACTGTCTCTTCTGTCGGGTGAAATGCATAGTTACAGTGGTGATGGTTATGTCCTTTAGTGTGATCAGCTAATGCTTTGAATGGAAAGAGTTACTGAAAAGAGGAAGGCAGAATGGTAGTTTTAATGTGTGCGTGCCAGGAATCATGCATCTGATGGTACATGCTGCAGTTGGTGATTCACCAGTGCTAAGCCAATACTGAAGCCGACTAATTTTTGTTTAGAACTACGTGTAGCTGCATGCCTTCTGCACGAGAGAAGTCTTCTCCTAAAAAAAAAAAAAAACAAACCCTCGTTGAAATGTGATTTGAATAGGTTTTGTAACCACTACTACTCTCATCATCTTATCTCTCTATCTATGGAACTGCTACTCCAGTAAGCGTCGCGGTTGTGCAGCCATATGTTTGTGGGTGTCAGGGACAAAGAAACTTGAAGCCTTACTCTGGAATTCATCAGAAGGATTTGGAGAGAGGAAATTCTGAATTAGAAATTGCTTTTCAGTAATTATTTCTTGCCAAGGAAGGCTGACTTCCCACAGACACCATACTTCACCATGGATTCTGCAAGAATGCTGGTTTTACTGAAAATTCAATCTCTTTACTACAGTAGAAGCCCAGCTGAGTTGCCATCCGTGGCAGCATTAAACTGACCCAAAACAAACAAACTTTGAAAAAAAATAGGGAGAGATTAAACTCACTGTAAGGGCAGCTGAGCTGAGCAGTAACAATGAGAAAAAGGAATAATTACAAGCCTAAGTTGTACTGAGAAACACCTGGGACTATGCTGTTCTTATTTTTTTTTTTCTTAAATATTATTCAACTCCTGCAATTTTGTTTACAGCACATCTCAACATAAGGTACCATATGGCAGTAGATGAGTGGGTGCTAATAAGAGACATATGAGACAACTGTGTCTCTGGGTACCCCTTTCTCAGTCACCGCAGGAGCACTCGAAGTTGAGGCTTTACCCTGGAGACAAGTGAAGTTTGCTGTAGACTTTTCCTGGTATCAACCCAGGTGTTTGGGTGGCCATCTGGCACATGAATAGATTAATGAACATTAAGACAATTCCAAGCCTGTGTCTTTCAGGAGGATGTATCACCAGGATGCTTTGTGATACTGTTAATTACTACAGAGGACTTAGAGGTTTTGGATCTCGGATTGCTCCTGAAGGTGATGGTGCAGGTCTAATAGTTATTTAATTTTGCTTCATTTCATTTCCCAGTCTCAGATCTCTTGCTTGTCAGCTGTGCCCTATGCCTTGGTCGGGGACTGTGCTAAGTGCACAGCCTTTTTTTTTTTTTTTTTTTCCTCAGAGCCTTCCAGGTGCATTGCCCAGGTATTGCCCATGTCTGTGTCTGAGATAGAAGATCACTCTGCTGTGGCCATTGCTCAAAAGCATCATTTAATAATGTTGATCCATTTGGAAGTTCACCACACACACACACAATTTCATCATTTTCAAGGAAGTGAGAGTCTAAAATGGGGATAAATCAATATCCAATGGAATGGATATTGATTCCTTTTCTCACCTTTGGAATTAATACCTTCTCCTCAGTAACCCGCTACAGAGGCAAAACCATTGTTCATCTCAAACAAGGCTCAATTAATCTTAATCCTGCTAAAAGATAATTCTGAGAGAAGCCCAGAGATACTACAGTTCAGCATCCCTGCAATCAACCCTGACAACGCCTTTTTCTTCTACTGTTAGGTCTACTCCCTGGGCTGTATTTTTAACGTAAAATTGTTTAAATGTGGGACTAAATTCTCATTTTGATAGCAAAACTTTTTTTATACTCTTCCTTTTGTTCTACTTATTCAGGGCAATTCCACATTTCTTTCATTAAACATCTGACTTCCACCTGTCGCAGCACCTAACTCACATCATGTTTGTCAAGGCTGACCTTGAGTCTAAGGAGCTTCCAGCAGAATATTTCCATGAGGCTGGACCAGAGGTCCATATAGCCTGGTACAGTTGCATACTGCAAAGTACAGAACAAACATATGGGTACTTGTTCTCAATAGTCTCCCCTTCTCTGACCATTTTCAGCTCAGGGGGCTGCTGGAGTCAGTTTGTGCATGAAGAAACCCTCAAAGGATCTCCCTTCTGTCAGTCCTCTGACCCCTGCAAACTTCCTGAGACTGCTGAAAGCAGGTGCAACCAGTTAAGAATGTAACTTGGTAGTAAATGCAAACCAACACAAAAAAACAAGGACAATGGAAAGTATATTTTTTACGTTAGGTGGCTGTCATTAACTCAGAGAAAAAAAAAAAACCAACAAACAAACAGATGAAATGCTTACCTAACCTCTTCTATCTCAGCTGGGGAAAGAAGTGGACTTCTGTCAGATAACACTGCACATCCATGGCTTCATCCAGTGACAGCCAACAGGGACCTGGTAGCCCAGAGAACCTCTGTGCCGATGTGCTGAGAGAGGAGGCATCAGGATCTGCTCGGATGCGGTGGCTACAGCCTTATGGAGGGCACTGAGACCAGTGTTTCTGCAGGGTTGGTGTTGTGTGACCCTGCAAAGCACCGGTACATGTCAATAGATCACCCACACAGACATTGAAATAACAAGCCCACATTCATATTTCAGATCAACCCTGATGACCCAAGTCCTCAGCCTTATTCATGAATCTGAGCTGCTGAAGACCTAGACCTGTCTCAGGAATTCAAGGATCTACAATCTGACTGCAATTAAGTGCTTAAAGCTGCCGAAATTTGTCAGTAATTTCCAGACTCAGGCCCCTAGTCTAAGTTCATGCTAGAAATATTTCCTATGAATATTTTACAACCCTTTTAAAATGTATTCATTTTGCACAAATACCTTTTGTATTTGCTTTCCATGAATATTTATGCAACTGGCTTTTGCTGTGCAAAATCTGCACGGGAAGGTATTTTAAATCACTCTCTGGGCTTCTCACACTGGCACTCACTACCTTCACACCCAGTCCATCAGTGGCAGAAATGGCTCGAGGTGCCTTTTGGGATCAGCTGCTGCCCCCGTCAAGCTTGGGGGGGGGGCTCATCAGGTAGCAGCAGTTTCTTCTCAAATGTACATTAATGTTCTCAATACCTCCACATCCCCAGGCAGATAGCATCTGAGTTTACCTTTCTGGCCAGTGCATCAGCTGATACAAGAAGAAATAGCATTCAAAACGATTGCAATTAGACATATCTTGGATTTTGTGGTTGGGTGTGTTACCTGCTGCCTAAAAAAAAAGGCTCTTATGTGAAGCTTTCTTTTGTACCTGCTTTAAGACATTTGCAATGTGAGATCATTTGAATTATATGTCAGATATTGACACAGGGATCAATCTGTGTCCAGTAATTCATGGTAATTTTTTTCCTGCTGCTACTCAGTCTTTGTTATTCTGGCAATGTAATTCCTAGTAGGCAATTATGGAATGACCTGCTTGTGGAAGAAATTACTTTTTATCCATGATTATCAACCAGTATACCCATAGAACATGATGCTATATCTCTTATTCTGCCTGCATCTTTTTATTTTTATGTATATTTGTATATTTTTTAAATACCTAAGAATAACTAATAACATGCTTTATTTGTGTTAACATTTTAAGATATGTATTTTAGACATATAGTTCAACATCTGTAGTCTATAAAATTATACTTACTCATTTTAAAAATATAGAGAGATTATATCTAAAATACCTAAGGATGTTCTTCTTATCCACCTAAGCTTCTTTTCTTTCATTTCCTCATAAGTCTTGTTACCTGCAACTCTATGTGGCGAAAACTATTAGTGGTTAATGCATTAAGTTTGTGTTTGACTATTTTCTTTAATTTTATATATATATATACACACACATGCATAATGTTCTGGTTGCCAGCTGACTGCTGCTGTACATTGAACAAAGTTTGTTTATGACTACAGGTCCCATTCCTCGTTGATAACAGTTAATTCAGGCTCCAAACAGGAGACAGCTGCTTAAGTGTTCCCTGACTGGTGTTGCTGAGCACGAAGCACCGAATATCAGGCTGCCCGGTAAGCTAGGGTTGAATTTTCTTTTTTTTTTTTTTTTTTAAGTGTTCAATTCAGTCTGCTTAAGTGGCGACTGATTTGAAATAAAGGTGTTTAATGTTTAATGTTAAATGTTTTTTTTTTTAAACTGCATACTTCATGATTTTTTGTAGGGTTTACTGTTTTCTAACTAAATGGAGTAAACAGTAGCTTTAATAAAGGGCTCTTGTGCCTTGCTCTCTGTGGGTTCCCCATCAGGGTCTATAAGTAAGAAAAGCTTTTCCACGCTGCAACGCCAGCTTGTTCCTCTGCTACAAAGAGATGCTGAGGCTGCTTCTGATGCAGGAGGGACAAGCCCCCTTGTGTCTCTGGCACTGAGGTGCTGAGAGGTTTCTCTTAGCAGCTCCCCAGCAGAGGCTGAGAGAGCCCACAGTGTTTGGATTTCGTGTTAATGGCACCCAGGAGGCCAAGGCAGCAGTGGCAATATCTCCAAGGCTGTGTTTGCTAACCAGAACAGCAAAATTAAACAAATACTTCTTAGTGAAGTTAGTACTGCAATAACTTTGTCACATATTGCTTCAAAAAATGGACCTCAGGGCTCCCCCCCAGCCCAACCCTGCAATGGATGCCAGAAAAGAGCTCTCTGTGTCAGCGCTGCCAGGGACAGCGTTCACCCACCCAATACCTGCTCATTAACTGACACCAGATTTTCATAAAGGAAAGCTGCTCATATGGTTAATGTGTCCACTTTAGTCTCACAACATCTCACTTTGGCTGGATGATTCAAAGAGGTATCCCTCTGTGTTGTGAGGGATATTTCTCTGCAAACAGGGTGTTATGTGTATCTAAGCCTATAGTCTGTGAAGGGAACAGAAATTCAAGTAATGGTTAAAAATGAAAAAAAAAAAGACAAGAAAAGGGAAAAAAAATAAATCAAGCCTGTATTTTATAGACTCATTTGCATACCACAGGAAAGTTGCGTGTGGTTTGAATCTTGCAAGAAGTAACAAACGCACTTGATTCTGACATCTCTCCTACCTTCCATGGTTTTTACTCAGAGCAAATGTTTTGACATTCCGTGCTGAACAGAAGCCAAGCTACACTTTCAAATCAGGGTAAGTATCCTAAATGACCCACCACCTCCTTACACAGTGCAACCCTAGGTTTAGCTCACCTACGAGGAAACACCGGCGGGTAAAAATAAACTTCCATTTTCTGCGCTTCAGGCTTGCAGACTTTTTGTTGTTACTCATTTTAGAGAGAGGTTTTTTTGTGTGTGGCATGTGGGGTGGTTTTTTTTGTTTTTCTTTTTGCAGAGTGCACATTACTGTCAGTTGGAATACTAATGGACATCAACATAAACATCATCTCCAGGGCTGTTCAATGAAACTATCTAAGGCTGATTGTCTTGAAATTAGCTTGACTCATATCTGAAAATTGCCAGTGATTAGCTGATTGTGGTTTGAATTGAACTCAGATTGCTACAAAAAGCTACAAAAAGTCATCCTCAGATATATTCTAGTAAATGATGCCTCGGATGCCTCAGTTGCTGCCAGCACTTGCATTAGGGATGAAGGTCTATTACCACATCACATTGACGGCAGTCATTTTACAATATATATTGTGCCCGGGGAGAATCTATCTCCTGGGGAGAATTCTGTCTTTTCACTTTTTAACCTATTCAGTAGGTGAACAAAAAAAAAAAATTGAGACGTCACAGGCAGCAGAAATGATTAAATATCCACCCTGTGAGAGAAACTTTTTTCCCCTCTTGTAATACAATTGTATAATAATTGTAAATACAATTATTATAATTATAGAGTGGTTCAATTCCTGCTAGGAATCATCCCTTCTATACTGATAGTATGTGACATTTAAAATAATTTTAAATAAATCAAAGGCCCAGTGCTAACAATGCCAATAGATCTCAGGTCTATTTAAAAAAAAAAAAAAAAAAGGCATTATTTTGTCATAATTATGAAATTCTGTGAACACTTCTGCTTTGACTAAGTCCTGTGGATTTGAGGACTTCGATACAAACAACAGAAGACCTTACCCATTTCCCTGCCCAAAAGTACAAAGACATTTGTCTCATATGTCTGTATTTCTTAGAGTTGAAATAAATACAGTTCAGCTTCATGAAAATAAGAAAGTTCCTCATTTGAAAACTGGTCACTTTTGAGCTATGTCTCTGCATGGGTGACAGTCTGCTCTGCTCTCTAGTGTCTAGTTCTTTTTTCACCCCAGACAAAAGTCCCTTACAGTCTTTAAATGTGAAAATGTATTTGAGCTCCAGCCCTTCTTGCATTACGTAGTGTATTACACGGGCAGATATTCAAAAGGTATTTGCAAGTCAGGAGTCATATTTTATTCACATAAAAGTGGGTAACAGAATACTGGCATGCCATTTCTTAGAGGAATTAAATTTAGAATAGTTGCAATGGGTACTTACTTTTTTTTTTTGGTGCATATTTGTCTTCTCACAATAAAAAGTATTATTTGGTATCTCTGTTGATGTGAGAAGATGCAAATGAGAGTCCTGCACTGGAATGACTCATTTCTCTGATTCTATGATTTGGGTCGTAAGGTTTGGGGTACAGACACTGTCGGACACATAAGGGGTAGAAGCCATTATGAGACAAACAGATGAAAGCTAATTGCCAGGACAGGTGGCAGTCACAGACACCTCAGTTGGAAGGGACCCCAAGAGGCCCCCCCTGTTCCAAACCCTGCTCTATGCCAGGCAGTAAGGATGAGAGACCAGGTTGTTCAGCATTTTGTCACCCATTGCAGGAACCCAAGGACAGGGTGTCTGCACACCTGACTGCCATGTGCAATACACAGCTTAACATGGTCCTGGAAACAGAAATTGGAAATGGCAGGCTTCATGTCAATCTGAATTTTTACCATTTCCAGGCAAGAGCCTGAAGAATAGGGTCCAGTATGACATGTGAGTGTCAGTTTTTACAGCAGAGGTGAGGGATATAGGAGTGGTTTCAGGGACCACTTCAGGCAAACACTGTCAAAAATGACTGGAAAAGTGGCTAATAGGGAGGGGATGACATCTGCTCATGATAGTAAATGTTCTTAAAGGAGAGGGGCACATCTTCAGGACCACAGAAAGAAGCACTTAGACTTAATGACTCTTAAGTGATTAAAAGAAAATTATTTTTAAGAGATAAAAAAATAGTAGAGGAAATTCAGTGACACAAATGAACATAGGAGACCTGTCCCACCTCCCTTCAATATACAATTATTGTTTCTATACTGTCTCTAACCACCCAGAAACGCCATACCTACAAGCTAGTATTAAGGCAGCATCAGCAAAGTGCTAACAGTCAAACAACAACAAGGAGAAAGGAAATCTGATATTAGGAATCTTAAACCAGGTACAGAGCACAAAGAAAGGCCACCATTAGACATCATACAGATTTCTGTTTTGCCCACATAATAATTACTGCTTGTGGTGCTGCCTTCCTCCCTCCTTTCCATCTCACACAGGGTGTAGAGAAACTAAAGGTGGTGCTAAGGATGATCGGGTATCAATCAGCTTCTCCCTTAAGGACTAAGTAAACAAGACCACTCCAACGTGTAATATGGCTAAGTAAAGTTTTGTAGAGGATGATAAAATCTGGGCAACAGTGAGGGTGTGTATGAAGAATAGTGATAGTAATCTCCAATACAATGATTAGGAACAATCTAAGGAAATAAGCAGATGGCTGTTAGTTTTAAAACAAACATAAGGAAGTATTGCTTCTCTTAGGATGAATTTACCTTAGAAAAAGCTTTGCTTTAGGCTGCAGAGAATGAAAAGCAAACAAGATACAGCCATGGAGGAAAAAAATCCAGTGAAGACAAAGAAATTAAAAGATGGTACATGTCACTCAGAAACTAGCTGCTACAGAACTTCTTGATGGGTGGCCCCGTACTCTGAGGCTATCAGTCAGCACTTGCCTTGTTCCTGAGTTCATACCCAGGTGTCTACTGGAAATATGATACAGGGCATGTTGAGCCTGGCCAGTCCCATGTTCTCCTTCAGGCCCTTGCCATGGCATAACCAGCAAATGAAACAGCTTAAAAATATTAAAGTTTCTAAAACTATTAAATTCTGCTTGGATAGAATCAGTGCTTGATGATAGAAGATTCGAGAAGATTCTGCGGTTAAAAGCATAAGGTGGACCTCTAAAAGAGACATTTTATAATGTATTCATGCTATTTAACACCAAAAACTGAATTCTGACCTTAGCTATTTAGTATATATTCTTTGTCAGTCCACTTTCAAATTAACTAGTGACTAATTATTTAGGCTTTTATGAATAATTTAAATAACTATTAGAATCTCTGCAGTTACATTAAAGAAAATGAGACTGTCTCCTACACTTCATATTTAAAAAATAATTTAAAAAAATATTTACACTTACTCTACATGCTCTCAAAAGTTTCAGTCCCCACAAAAACAAAAGAAAAAAACATACAGCTGCAATTTTAACATCTGCCTTTTAAGAAGACTCAAACATTTTTTGTGCTAATTAACACCTAAACAAAAGGCTTGCAACAATGCTGAATCAGACATTCCCAGGCCTTTCTGTTCAGCACACTGATGGGAACAAACTAATATTTTAATTTATTACCTCTTCATTTCAAATTAAGGCTTTTGAGTACAAGGTAGTCTTAATGTCTTAGGACTTTGAAATGAACTACGCAAAGAAACCTACAATTAGAATAACAGATAGATGCATAAAATCCTTGCCTAGATCCATAAAAATCAAATAAAGATCACAAGACTAATTTAACTCTCTTCCCCTAGTGACTTTCCTTCATTATCTTATTAAACAGAAGAAAAGTGAAAGATACAGACTGAGAAACCTCAAGCAACCTAGAAAAATTATTGATTTTTTTGTGGTAACTCAAATGGCTGGCTATTTTTCTCCCTGACTGAAGTTCGACTCCTTTTTCACCAAGAAGGGTGATGGTCCTACGAGCAGGACTGATGCTTCATCTCAAGGGCTTGGGGAAAGTCTGCAGCAGGTGCTGAAGAGCCCCATCTCCTGCACCTAGTGAGTCTGTTGTAGTTTCATAAAAGCAGTTCTGGGGCATTTCTCCCTGTGCCCGTGTTGCTAGCAGCTAGGCCATTCCTCATGGACTCACCCATATGGTGGGAAGAGCTATGGCCCTTAAAAGAGGGTTAATACCCCATTTTGTGCATGTTTGTGTGCATTAGGTGCTCATGTGTGCCTGGAGGAGGACTACCTGGGCTCTCAGAGGCTTTACCTGGCTCCAGAAACTCAGCTGCGAAGTCACAACACCGCAAAGAAGTCTCCGTTGAAGTGCCTTGCCCATGCAGTACCGGAGTGCTGAACTGGCCCTTGCAGTGGTACTGATAATGCTAAGGAAAACAGTGAAGAATTCAGATTCTCCCCAATACTAGCATCCAACTCCAGTTTTGTCACTACCAATCATGATACATTAACAACTAAGCCAGGATGGCAGTCATTTAGCAAGCTTAAATATTTAATTTAGGAACAATAGCAGGTCATTTAAATAATTAAATTCAAAGGAACACTCAAACGACTCACAACACCATAACGGTTTCATTTTGTTTGACATCTACGTGTACATTAACTACAAAACTAATTCTAAAAGCAGGGGAAGTGAGCGAGTGGAAATGCCATCAGTACATTGGCCAGATGCCCTCCTGCAGCCAGTCCTAGGCAGAGGTAAACTATGTAGGTGCCTTCTTCTCCCCACACCTATGCACACACAGATACACCCAGACCAAAGAACTGTGTGGTGCTGTATCCATTACCTTGGCCAGAGTTCAAGAGAAAAGAGAAAAATGGAAGAAAAGGGGGCTGTTGCTGTCTGCCTGCTCTTGGAGGACCATCCCTTGTCTCGGCCCTGGGGTACCTCAGCTGGCTGGAGCAGTGAATGCGACATCTTTTGCTAGAAGTGACCATCAGACTGGACATAAAGGCAAAGGCAGTACAGCCTCAGGCTCTGCCTGCTGAAGTGGGCAAAACAGCCCTTGACACTGCTGCCCGTGTGGCTCCTCACGCTGCAGTGCCAAAGGGGAGGAGGGCTGCTCTGCCAACAGCGTCTTGGCAAACGGCCTCCAAGAAAACATGATGAGGAGCAAAAGGTTGCCAGGTCCTATGTGCGTGCCAACTGTCAAAAGACCTTTTTTTTTTTTACTTTTAAAAGCCAAACTAAAATAATTGGAAACCAGAATCTTTACTGAGTTTTAGACTCAAATGGATTTGATTTGACCACTGTTGATGTCAGCTAAAAAGTATCATATAAACATTAACTATTTCAATGAGCCTATTTACTATTTCTTAAATAACTACTTTGTCATATGTAAATAATGTTTAGGAACATGTTCCCTTAGCTATGAAGTAAAACACACACACCCCCCCCAGACTATATTGGGTGTACAGAATTTTGTATGGCTGGCATGAGGCTTGGACGTGGAGCTGAAACGTTAGTTACTCACAGGTCAGAAGGCAAACTTTTGTGCACTCATTTGAATTATTAGCTTTTAAATCAAATGGCAGCATGAAACAGCTGCAGACTGGAAGTCTCCTACCAGCAACTAATGGCAAGCTAAGCTAGAAGCTAACGAAACACTGAAAAGGAGCCCTGCGATGCCAGTAGCGAAGCACAGTGAGATGTCAGTCTGTTCACATCACCTAGGAGTGCTCGCCCATTCAGGCACAAGGACCAGCTCAGCCACTGCTGTCATGTCCTGCTGACTTGCCCAGACACCACTGGAAAGGCCCCAGCCTGGGCAATCCCTGGTTTACTGAGTCACCCTCGCTACATGTGGGTGACAACGGGGGACCCTGCTCTGTTACAGTTTCCCACCACCTCAAGAGGTTGGTGTCGCAGTGGCCACCTTCACCCTCCTGCAATGTTTCCCACTGCCTCGATGCATTCATCAGGGTGGCCCTTTAATTGCTATAAATGAGCGATGAGTCAGCAGGAAATTCCACTCAGAGGTACAGTGGGTAAGGACAAAACATGAGACCTGTTTGGCTGTTCATGTTGCAGAGACAGCAAATTTCAGTACGGGCAGATTATACTCTTGTTAGCTGCCACAACAAAGTCCAAGAGTGAGGCAAAGCCCTAACCCCCACAGTCAAGTTACTTCAAGCATAGATATACTGTTTTTTTAATAAAATCCTACATTAAATATAACATACTTATATAAACTAAATTCAATATGCGAAATATATTAATTTTCAATAGTCAAAACAGTGTTGTTGACAGTCCCACTCGTGCTTACCTCATTTGCATCAGTTTGATTAGTGAAATAGACCTCCAGCATCTCTGCTGTTTTTTATGTCTCCTCTCTTCATATAATGTTGTCTGAATTCACAGGTGGCCCCTCCAGGACTCCACATTCCTCTCAGATGTCTATCAAGGCATGGCAGTTCTAATGCCTCGTGGAGGCTGCTGGGGAAACTTCCCGACTCAGTGCACCTCCTGGTATCATGACGTCTTTCAAAGCCCTTGTGTTCCCTTTTCCATCCAGTACGATCTGATTTTCTGCTCCTGGACGGATGCAGCCCACAACTCAATGGGAAAGTGAAGGAGATGCCTATTTCCCTGCTGCTATTGACAGCTTGTAAACACCGCACCCTGAGTGGCAGCCCTGTCCCCAGACACTTGGCAAAGCTGCCTTTAGGATTATTTCTGTTCTCTTCCCATCAAAAAAAAAAAAAAAAAAAAAAATCTTTATCCTATCAACCTATTAGCAATTGGATATTTCACTTTATGTTCAATTACGTTCCCAGAGAAAGAACAAGTTATGAAAGTGCCTTTTGGACTAACATCAAATGTATTTCTTGATGAATTGCAACCTGGTAAACTACTTGGAAGCTTTTGAAACGTAAAGTCTATTAAGCCTTTCAATAAAATAATGCTGTAATGTACTGTACTTTTTTCTCCAAGGATGGCACATATAATAGAACAATACCTGCTACTGACTGGAGCTTGTATTTGTCAGTGGGTGTTTATGTTCTCAATCCTGTTTTTCATGGGATCTCAAACCCCCATTTCAGTAATGATGGACCATCACTGTGACAAATCCTACTCAAGCAGTCCCCATCAGCCACAAGAGTGAGTACAGTCCAAGTACCATTAAATACACTAAATACAGCCTGGTGGCCTCAGTTTTAAACACAGCTCACCAAACTCTGCAGTCCACATCTAAAAAACTAATAGTGAACAGTTGTCTCTTTAAACTTAGCTGAGCAAATGGATTCCTTTTCTGGGATTCTTCAGGCATGGGCACTCATCCTGCAGGACAGTTCTTAATGTAGGTCAGCTCACATCTTCCAGAAACCAGCCACAACCCTAGCTTAAACCCTGATGCGGATCCTGAACTAGAAATACTTGTTAAAGTTAAAATATTATTTGCTATCAGCCTTAAATATGGATGACTAAATATGTTTAAGCCTAGTTTTGCTAGAGGGTGTGACCTTAGCAAGACTAAATGGCTATCAAAAAATTATGAGCAATTTTCTGCAGTAGATGGAGAAATTAAACTTTGCCATTTTTTCAGCTTCTGTTGTGAATACAACCTTAACATTAACCCTGATATAGAGAGAAACGAGGCAAGAGACTATAACCTCAGCACTAACAATTTCTCCTTAAAGGATAATGGCAAATGCCCTTAACCTTACTGTGTCTTTGCACATCGTTAGAAGATTTTTTCCAAAGCACCTACAAATTTAACCATATCCTGACTTTGGCTTCTCCAACAGGAAGAAATAGAATCCCTCAAAACATAATTTCTGATATTCCCCGCAGAGCCTACCACTCCCCAAGGGAATGCTGCAAGAGCTAGGGTGGGACTAAGAAAGAAGAAAAGATGTTCAACCCTTTGCAACTTATTTCTGAAACTGTTTTCCTAGAAGACCTTTTATTTATTTATTTATTTATTTATGGAAGAACACAGAAATACATTTGAAATCTGTTTGCTAATTTACTGTGTTCTGAGATTGGTTGGGAGGGGAAGATGTTAAAATAATTTTTTTTTTTTTAAAAAACACATCGAAATAAAACTGCGTTAACACAGGAACTGATAATCTCTTCTTAGTAGGGGCATTACCCAGTGAGTTGTAGAGCTCCTCCATGTTCTCCATGGACTGTATTAATGAAGTCAGTTCTGCCCTTCAGAGAAACTCAAATCAAGATAAACTTCAGTCATAACCTTTTCTCCCAGATTTGACTGCTTTCAAGATTGTGTGCCAAGGATTAATCCTTTCAGAGTGCATTCTCATTTTCCCCAAATGTATGGCTGGACTAATGAATTTTCTGCAATAGTAAGCTGGGTAAAGAATACTTCAAGTGTGCCACTAAAACTTCTGTTTTTTAAGAAGGTGAGATTTCCAAGCAACACATGTGCAAGGCTGAGAAACCAACAGCAATAATCATTCTTGTGTACAGGAAGCTAAATGAGGAGTTTGTTGTTCAGTAAATCAAAACTTTCTTCTGAACAGGTCAAATCCTTTGAGATTTACATTTGAAACATACTCTCTGTCTGGTGGATCAAAACTGCATTGGCCATAAGTAAAAAGAAGCATCACGTAGGCAGAGTTACAGATCACTGAAGAAGTTCCCTCAACACGTTATTACACAGAGGAGAAAAAATCAATTATATAAATTTGGGTAAACCTCAAACAATAAAATAAAATAATTTTGCAAATAATTATGCAACCATAATCCTCACGAGAACGGTGTTCTGAAAGCAGTTGCTTTGTGGTCAACATTAATGTCATCTAATAGCATTTTAATTTTTATTATGCTTGCATACTCCAACAGTCAAGTAAAAATGGTAGAAAATCAAAGCGTATTTAAAATTGCTGGGCTTCTTGTGTGTGTGATCATAGATTTTTCTCTTCAAAGCATCTCCTTCATTTACCATGAACTAGAGAAGATACAAATCTATCTATAGACCCTAATTAGAATCAAGAGGTTAAATCACTAAAAGACCCTTTCTTTGAAGTGTCTAAGTTGTAATCCCCTGGAGACTCGAGACAGATGGTTTTTTGCTCAAACAGACAAGCACAGAATGTCATGATGTCATTTTTGCAACACTTCATCTAAAGTGGCCTAGATCAACACAACAGTTATGGGAGGATTAAGCAAACAACCAAACAAAACCTCCAAAAGTACTACAAGTCATATGCTAAGCCGGGATAAACCAATTAAGGGCTTTTGAAAGCAATTTCATTTTACACCAATAACACTTGAAGAGTCCACAGGATCAGAGCCAGCAAGGGAAGCTTTAGAGTGAGTCACCATTATCGGTTTTGATGACCAGGGAGAAAAAAGGAGGAGTATTCTGCCAAGGTGTACTAGGAAACAGATGAAAGTACAAATATAGACAAAATTTATTTGCATAAACTTCCTACTCATCAATCTTTCAAATGATGCTCTGAAGTGCCTCCAAACTTGTACAGAAATTCCTGATCAACTGTAAAGTAATATCAAACATAAAAGGGGGGAGATCCCTGAAAAAAATGAAATTCTAAAACAGTAGACACCTTTCCACCTGTTTGCGATTTATTTGTTTTCTTCAAAAGAAGATTTTTACAAGAAGAAACTTCTTGGTGATATTCAGCTATTTACTGAAACCTCAAGGTAACAAAGAGCCAGGGCAAGTAAACTCTAGAGAGAATTTCCTACTTAACATATAAGAAGCAGAAATCAATATAGCTAGGTTAGATAGTAGAGCCTCAGGATAACTCTTTCATTAAGTGGGGAAGAAAAGCCTTTCTCACTGCATTTCTGTATTTAGGCCACTGTATTACCGCGTTTTTGGGTCCACTAATAAAAACTTATATATAACCCTATATACAGTGTGGGAGATGGGAAAGAAAGAAGTGGCAGATAAAAGTATCACCTCAGAAATTTATGGAAGTGGATAGAGAACTGTTACAGTACCTTTTATTATTTATAAGTATTGATTTTTTTTGTTGTTGTTGTATTTACTGATGTTGATGCTCTCCTCTCTCATGCCCTGATTTTCTCCTGGTTTCACTAGCAACTGAAGAATTATGTCCAGGTAAACACACCCTGATTAGGTTTTGCTAGCATCTAAAACAGAACTTCAGCTGAGTTAATTTAAAGTACAGCCACATCAACCAGCGTTTGCTTGTGCTTTCAATTTTTGCATAAACACTTGTCTGTGAGGTCTATGCATATAACACTCAAGCCCGAGACCTAATTTAACTGCTCAGTTAGAAAAATAACCATGCCCAGGAACATAATCATGTATCAGCCTATGCATACGTATGGTGGAAATACTGAAATACATATAGATAAATTCAGCCATTGATGCAATACCAGTTTGCAATACTGCAGATGATACATATTGGCTATAATGGGCATCATCTCAAATACACTACACGTGTAATAAAATAGTTTGAAAAGTGAGAAAAATCTGGATGATGGGAGAAACACTTCCCTGAGACCCCGAACTTTTTTCCTAGCAAGAAAACCAGGACCAGAATGAAGATCCAGCAGATCCCCCTTATCTCCCGTATGGCATCACGACATACACAGGCCATTTAGTGTTAAAAATATTTTCATCTCATAGCTATTTTAAATGTACTGATCACATTTGGGTAAAAATAAATGCAGAATTGGGTATTTTCTAATGAACAGCAGGATATCCCCCAAGTTTACAACTTTTGCAACCATACTCAGAAAACAGTCTGCTTTAAATCAATCACCACATTTTTTTGAAACAAACTCACATTGTCAATGTTGAGGCTTAAATCAATACTAGTAATAGAAAGGCATTATTATCATACACTAAAAGAGTGATGTGGAAGTTTTACGCAAGAATTTTACATCAGCCGTTAATTACCAGTTTTGTCAATACAGACATTAAATTCTCTTACAGTTAGTGTTTTAGAGAAGTGGCATGTGAAATACTAAAAAAATACACAAAGTATTTGCTGCCAGCTAGCTGTATTGTGAGTATGCTACAGAATACTTTTTTTTTAAACACAAAGCCAATTCTTTTTTTTCTTTTTAAAAAGACAGTATGCTCTGAACATACAGCAGTTTTATCTGTTGTCTCCAGATCAACTTAAGCTTTACAAGGAGGAGAGAAAACTGGTCTCTCCGAAGCCACAGAACATGCTAGGGCCCAGGGAGCATCCTGAACTGTGGTAATTTCCTGCACCAAAAAGAAGAAAAGGAGCTTGCCACTCTGGAGCTTGTACTTAGAGCCAGCTGCACAGACATGGTGGAAATGCAGAAACTTTTCTAAAGGCTTTGGACTAGGTGTATGCTGGAAATTCCCCCAAATATGCCAGAGTTTAATGAACAGTGGAAGAATAGCTCTTGACTCTGCAGTTAAAAGTCTTCATGTGGTGGTCAGAAGAGGACTGGTTTCCAGGCTTTTTATTTAGTTCATCTCAGCCATCAATTCAATTTGAGAGTGGCTTTGTTCTGTGATCTTACCAAAAACCATGGCTCTAAAAATCAGAAAGCACTGGAAAAAGGGCCCATCACAGTCCTAGTCTTCAATTGAGTTTGAATTTCTTTAGCGTAGACCGCTGACAATTATAAATTATTTTGTAGAAACTGATCATTAAAAAAGAACACTTAAAAAACAATTTATTTTAGAGGTTAAAGTGTGATTGCCTGTTTTAATTTGATTGGTAGTCTTGAAAGAGGCAACATTTTAATTTAAGGGTCAACTTGTTCTGAAAGGCTAACCAATCATGTAATCTAGATAAGTCTCAGTTTAAATAGGATAAAGATGGCCATGCATAATTAAAGTATTCAAAGGCACCTTTCCCAGTTCACTGCAAGCTTTTGGGGTGCCTTGAACCATACTGAAGGAACATTCATTGAAGCAAATAGTTTAAGAGATCTGTCATATTAGTATGGGTAGTGA